GCAAATGATACAATCGAAGAACAAGAACGTTTGTCCAGTATTTGTAACGAAACCGACGTGGCACAGGTACAACAGAACGCTGATGAAAACGCATTTCAAGAACACAAAGAAGTTATGACTGAGTTCTCTTGGAAAGAAGTCGAATATCTTGAGAAAACGTACCGTGAGTGGATGGAAGAACTACGATTAACAAAGGAAGAATTACAGCAAAAATCTACACACAGAGAAGATAAGATGAGCATGACTGAGGGACCATGTCTCACCAACGTGTTAGTTATGACTGATCAGGTAGAAAACGTTTGTCTTGCAAGTTTAAATACTGAAGGTGAAACTCAGCTAATCGAGAAAGAGACAATGACTGACCTAAAATGGCCTGATACTTTGTTCTTTGAAACTACTCACTCACAGAGGTTTGACGAGCTAGAAATGATTCCTTCATCCTTGACGAAAGAAACAGCTGAGGTGGAAACTATGACGGAACTGTCTTGGCAGGACTTGTTGTCCGTGGAAGAATCCTGTATAGAAGAACTGGAGAAAATATATTCTTTGGAAGAAARTTTATACAATGATGACAAGAATTTGGTGGACGAAGAAACAATGACTGATCTGAATTGGGAAGAAATAGAGAGCCAATTAGATACATATAGAGATCAAATAAACTCGCTCAAGGAAAGGCTGCAAGAAGAAGAAAAATTCTTCTATCCAATCCAGCAAGTAGAAAACGAAAATGTTAATATTGTTGGGCTTTCCTCAATGAATGAGCTCGGGTTGGACGTCAACRTGGCCGCAATGGAATGTGATGACGAGGCTGTCGATGAGTTTCTAGTGAACGACTTGGTAACCAACAAAAAAGAAGCTGGAATTATGACGGATGTAGTTGGTGAGGACCTAATAAGCAACATTACTAAAGTCAAAGRCAATGTGCATTGTAATTGTTCCACTGATTTAGTTTGGGACTGTAGCATGTATCTCGACATAGTGGTTGTACCTGCAAAGGTCGAAAAGGGAAGCTCGACAGATTTGACGTCGAATGATTTATCTCACATGGAAAACATATATTGGCAGGAGACTCAACGACTGAATGAAATACGTGATGAACAAATAGTTGACAATAACTGTATGACAGACGATACTAAGGTCMGAACGGCTGAGTATATAACGGAATTTACTGAGAAAGACCTGAACGTGACGATGGATAACAACGACCAAAACACAGAGAAGAGGGCTTTTAAGTTGGAGGTAAAAGGAATGTGGTATATGCATGTAAAAGCTSATCGCGCACAATACAGCATTGCTCCTTAGATGCACCGCTTTTCGCATGTACTTATAAAAAATAGCATATGATATTACGAAACGTCTTGATTTCATGTCATATATTGTGTAATTATGTTTGTGTGATGTTGTTTTTATTTATGAATTATGATTAATTTGCGCTTACTAAATGACATTTCCATATGTTATTATTGAAAATAGATATAGGAAAACGTCTATTACTGGTTTTATTTCAATATTTGATTGATATTTTAACTTCTTGCCGTTTCTTTGTTCATTTGTTTACTATTCCTGTTTTGTTCTCAGGATACACGCGGTACGGGCATTGATTTCGAGTTGGATGAGAATCTTAAGGACATTTCTACAAGAGATGACGCAAGCCAACACGCCAAGGAAACCAGTACTGATATTACTCTTGATGACATGGCGTATTTTGAAGACCTTGAGATCAAACACCACGAAATGATGGTTCAAATAAAGAAAGGTAATGATATGAACAGTCATACCGCTCAAGTTAACGACACGTTTTTAGATAAAAATGGAAAAACCAAAACAAATGATCAGCAAACAACAACTGATATTGCATCAGACGACATGACCTTCTAYGAGCAGCTGGAGATGGAAAAGTGGCATGAAATGCCTTGTGTTGTGCGGGAAAACATTTCCCTTTCTTCCTCTGGAGTTTTAAATCAGGGATTTCAAAGAAATGTTGTTTCTTTTAATAACGCTACTTCTGACCATTCAACAATGACAGAACTTWCTTTAGATGACTTGAATCATTTCGAAACAACTGAGAAAGAAAACCAGRAACTCTTAAAAGAGAAACAACGCTGGGATGCTTCACTGCACAGCGATGAAGAAGCTGTCAAAATCAGTATGACCAATGGTGATTACGAAATATTAGTATTAGAATGTAATGAACTGAGGTTAGAAAACGAGCGTATCAAGGGATTGTTTGCAAAAATGACAGATCAACAGAAAGATTTGCAAGATAAAGACATTGAAACTGAGCTTAGMTCAGAGGACATTGACAATTTTGAGAATTTAGAGGCTACATTGAAGAATTTAAAATTACAAACTAGWGAAGAAATTGACATAATGATTAAAGAACTCGATGAGTCGAATAAGCAAAAGTACTACATGGAATCTCGTCTCAAAGAAGTTGAGCTAGTACATCGGAAATGTATTGAAAAACAGAAAAGCTGTTTAGAGAAAGGAGTCGAAACTGAGATAACTCTTGATTATTTGTCAAACCTTGAGAATAAGAGCACAGAATTAGGAACTGATATTGGTATTTGTACTGATTTAACATTGACAGAGATTTATTATTTAGAAGAAATTGAGTCTGTACATAACGAATACTGCATGACATCGGCAGACACTGATAGATCGAGTAGGACTRATGAGAAGGGTGTGGTCACTGAGTTAAAATCATCAGTAGTAGATTACCTAGAGGAGKTGGCTACTACACATCAACAAATCGTCACAGAGTACGAGGCGTTTAGAAAATCCGTTACTAAAGACACGAATGATTGCAGCGCAATGACAGAAATGACAGGAGAGCATCTAGACTACCTTGATGAAATGGCATTAAAAAGCGAAGAACTTGAAAATATGCTGATCGAAGTAACAGAGGAAGCAAAGTTAAAACAATATGAGCTTGAAGCTAACAAAGCTAAAACCATGCTGTCAAAAGAGCTGATGACTGATTTATCACTATCTGATATCAGAACTCTAGAGAGTCTGAGRCAAGAACAAAATCAAAGCAGAAAGTCTTCCAAACTTAGTAGGTCTGGTTACGAGTGTTTACTTGATATCGACAGTACGGTGAGACGCCATGATATTGCACTTATGACAGAATTGACAATAGATAATTTAAAGACATTAGAGAACTCAGATTCTCTCTACACGGATCTAAAACGACGAGGTGTACTTTCTCGGCTCGAGGATCTTGACAAACCTACAACGGAACACTCAGTAATCACTGACCTGCTGTCCACGAACATCGATCATTTTGAACATATCAAAAGTCTGTACAATGAAAGTGAGCGACGCAAAGATAATAACAAAGACAAGGAAACAGAAACAGAAATCTGTCTGACAGACTTGAAGCGTCTAGAGAAAAGAGCAAACAAGAATGACAGTGAAGCATTTGTTCCCCTATTGGAAACTAGTGAAGCTGTGTTCGGATCATGTCCACGAGAAAGGAGAGGTCGARGTGGCCGTTACGKTGACCGCAATGATTTCGATGGAAGTCGTGATGTCAAAAGTGCTGATATTGGAATACAATGTGACTTAAAGGATATGAATTCATCYATTCGGGAACAGCAGCGGGAAGATGGCAACGTTGAGTGGTACTTGTCATCCCTTAAGGTTAAGAGAGAAAATCAAGGTAAGATGTCATTATTGTGCAATTCTATCCGTGGAAGTGTTGGTCCGCCGTTGCTAAAACTTTGACATGTTTTTTTCAGAAGGATTTGATCCCGTCGAGGTTACTTTAAAAAGTGACAGAAAGTCATCGACTCCTGACGTYAGAGGTCGCGAACATGGCGATAAACGCCACTCCTTTGTGGACAGTAAAGGCAACACGACRAATGCATCGTTAGACTATGGCTGGCAGTCAACGATGAGTTTAGACGCCAGTGGACTAGAAAGAACATTAAACAAAGGTAAACCATCAGTATTTGTATTGCCTAACTTAGTGTTGATGGCCAGTTCATATATATGTAGCAATCTAGTGACGCACGATTTGCAAGATTTATAAAGTGATYCTATATGTCTATACATATTTTGAYAGGGTATGCACTTGGTCGATGGGATTCTCCTCGCGTACCCCTGGCACAAGACGAAGTTTTTGACTTATCTGATATCGAGAGCGCTACTAGTGAAGAAAACCTTGTAACCCCTCCTCGAAAGGAAAGCGCGGTGACTAAGTTTGATCGTTTTATGATGGCAAGAAAAGAATCTGAGATAGAGTTATTGGCCAATTTAAGAGATAAATCAGACCATGTTGATGGACAGGGCCCGAAGATACCTAGGGTATGTCATATTTTACCTTTGTGATTTTTGTTTGGTAGGCTGGTCGTTCTTTTTGTTTTTGTTTCGTGATAATCAAGCGCTTGATTTGTTCATAAAAATTTCTTTAGAGTATATTGGACGATTTACGGAAAGAAAATGAACAACTTAAAAGCAGAATCCTAGAGCTTGAACTACTGGTGAGCCAGGTATGACATATTCTATATGCAAGCCATTGCATGGTATATTGTAAAACTGCCTAAGCAAGGAAGCTGATTGTGAACTGATTTCTTTGTTATTTTTTAATGRSTGGTTTATAAGAAGTCAGTTTTGAMTTTGACGTCACTTTGAGCTGTTTTTGGCTAAGTTTTTGCCAGTTCATTGAATGGAGTCGTTGTATTATTCCATTTACGATAAAGGGACCACGAGCAAATTAACGGTGAATGAAAAACATGCTTCCGATCAATTGTTGGAATTTCCGATGAGTTTTTACTGCACAACTGTGGAGACCATAAAGTACACCGCAAAGAAAAAAGAAACTTTTTTCGTAATAGATACTTGTATGTTGATGATTAGTATGTCTAGACTAATAAAGTCATATAAAATCGTTAATCATGAGTTAATCATTAAGCCATGGCGATTTTTCTTTTGTTTCCATGTATATCAGTTTTGCTGGTTATAAGTTCGACTGTAGATGTTATAATTAGCAAGATGACTTAAGCATGTTACCCGTCAAGAAATGTCCTTTCGAAATAACATTGGCGGATGTGCAGCTTCAATCATATATTATTAAAAACATAGCTCACTGTCGACAAGCTTTCCCTGTAAAAATGTCTTGAATCAAAAATTTAAGACCGGTTATTTGAAACCAGTATAATATTTTAAAGATGCAGTCGAGAATTATGTTCGGTGAAGAGAATACACTGTTTCTCGCGGTAACGTAAATCTCAAGCAAGAATGGGTGATTCAAATTAAATGTATTCATAGCCGTAGAAGGGACTGACGATTCAAATGAACCTACAACGTATGCTAGATTACCTGTCAATGCACGAGGCCGTAAGTCTGTTTTACTATGGATATCCTAGAATATCGAATGATTTCATTGGTCACAATTAAAATATATTTTCATTCTCCTACTAAAAAAAATTCAATTAACAGAAAGGTGACTTGAGCGATGAAGAACTTCTTCTCTTAAAACAGAAGATACAACAGTTACAAGACGCAGAGAAGGTATGTGATTGTTTTGTGCAGTAATGACCGGCCTTATTAAACCACTGTTTAGTGTGTCCGTATATCATGGAATATAAAGCGCGAATTTTTCTGCTCGATCGACATGAGGTGAACCGTATATTTACGATATAACTATTTATTTTACAAAAAAGAGATTCCAAAAATTTTAGTTTTTCCTCAGGTATCTTGACCTATTTGGGGAAAATTCGGTGATTTAGTATTATATTTTTGGAAAATACACGRCAAACATTATTAAACCTGGAGTTCAAGATCATATAGCTGTACCAGAGTRCATCGATTCAATACCTGTTATGTTGTGAATATGTAATGAAAATATAGTTACGATTTTGCGGTCTCTTTAATTCTTTTATGAAATCGTGTTTGTGGTCTTCCATTTTCCTATTGTACTTGCCTGTCGTAAACACGAACTGAAATCATTCATACACTATTGTAGTGGTTAACCTGTATGGTTTTTAGTGCGTATACAAACGAGTGTAGCGTGCMGTGGATAGGCATGCGCAAATGTCGACCTCGTAGAATTTCTTTGATGATTTATGWCACTGTAGGCTTTWAAGGATTTTAAATGGACCAAGTAGGCTCGTGTGTTGGCAAATGTGGTTTTGGAATAAGATGGAAGGTCTTTTAGTAAATGTCAGTCAAGATGAACTATCGGTTGCGAAGCGAAGTGAAGCTTCGACAGCTTATTTCAAAAAAGGAGTTGCTCTGAGTGTAAAATAAACGTGTAAGGTAATCGAGGTCCTCCATTRCCATCGTTATTGGTRGATGRTAATTGTGATGGGAGCAGCATATCACTTTGTACTTATCTAATTTTCTTTATTCTTCTTCATAGCAAATGGAAGAGYTTCACATGCATAACAGTGCACTTAAGGACAGAATCAACCAGCTCCAAGACGTAAGTAACGCATGAAAAATCATGATTGAGTAGAATTTTAATTACGTACTTGTGCGTGTATGCGACTTAGTGGTCATTATATTCATTACCTTATGATATGAATAGAAAATGAAATGAAGGATGAACAATGATGCTTATTCTGTTTTTCAAACGATAGGATAAATCATCGTCTGGTGCTTCGACATCAAGAACTGTGCAAGACAATTGGTCTGATCGAAGTGAAGGAAGGGTAGATATCAATGATTCTTGTAATTAAGACTGGTGTCACTTTCATTATGTCTGCACCTTTACTCACCTTTCTTGCCATCTTTACTCTGGCTTTGTAAAGTGAATTGTAAATTGAAGTAAAACTTAAATAAATCTGCATTAAATCCACTTTAATTCTCAGTTCAGTTTGATTTTAAAAAAGTGCCACGCCCTTTCTAAGCACCAATCAAGCACTATTAGACTATTATTCTAAACACCAATTAAACCACTATTAAACATGCACTTCAATTAAACARCCAGTTCTAAATATTAAAAAGGCATAAACTATTTTATATTAACAACAGTGCTAATGATAACCACGTTATCAATCATATAGACAAGATTGTTGCTTGTTCAAGACTGGGGACTAGATGACACTGATCTTCAGAGCTTGTTCTCTGAAAGAGACGGAGCGGTCTCTCCAGCGGAGAGCCTGGAAAGTAGCGCATTGCGTCGATTAGTTGATGAATACGTGAAGGTAATGACGTCRCCATGATCGTTGATAAACAAGACTAAATGATCAATGCCGTCCTTACATTTTGTCAAAAGTTATTAACTTTCGATATTAAAATTTAATTGCATGCAAAAAGGGAAATATAAGCAGCATAAAACTGAATTATCAACTCGCTTAAAAAGTATAAATGTGAAAAACAATAGATTTAGCGAGGAAGAAAACAAAAGKAAATTATTTTTCTTTCTTTTCTAATTTTATTCTTTTGTCTTCAATTAGCGCGTGCTTTTCCTTGTGCTTATTGTTTTTCTTGTGCTGACGCTTGACGTCTTTTCTTTTGTTCTCGACTTATGCTTCTGTCTCTGCCTGATGAACCTAGAGCAAACTCAGTTAAACCATGAAAGGAAGTAGTTACAAACAGTAGTAATTATGTTTAAAAAACTTGATGGTTTGTCTTTCACGGTTTAGCTGCGTTGATTTAAGATATAGATCTAGTCGCAATAGTCAAATTGAAAGTAAATTAAATAGCAATGGTTGACCACTAATCACTCTATGTCCATAAAGACGGCCTGGTTTTCAGCCGGACTCGTGAGTCGATTTAGTGAGTCCAATGTCAAGAATACGATGGAATCTGAAACAGTAGAATCAGAAGGTTGATATATGTTTCTGTCATCTAAAAGGTAGTAACGAAAGCAGCGCTCTTTTCGGGTTCTCTGTTACAGCTGTAATGTCTGCTGCCATTTATATATGATACTCTAGAAACATTTAATCTACTTCTATCTGCGCTTCCATCACGACAGGGAAAACCAGGTAGTCAGTTTATCACCACAATAAAACAGTTAATCCACACTTAACTCTTGTCAATATCAGCATCTTTTTCATTACAAATTTATTGTCGATTTTCAGTCTGACTTCGCAGCCCAAGCTGGATCAGGACCAGGTATAAGCCAGGAAATCCAAACCACTGGCGATTTGCTGAAGCTGATTGACCTTTCTTATGATGGCACCATACCGGACCATATAGCTAAGGTATTAATCATTGATCGCAATCATTTTAGTTACTTAGTGAATTGAATTACTCGACATTATYTTGTTTTAAATTGTCAATGGGAAGCCGGCTATGAATACCAAATGAAGATTGATCAATATTTGTTTTTTCTTCTCCGTGCTGAATCATTGCAGTTCCACTAATGGGTTTTGTGTTTACAGGAACTGGAAAATTTAAAAGCAGAAAACAAAGAGTTGTATCAGGAACTTTTACAATTAAGAAAACTAAAGGTAATYACACRAAAAGCGAATGCGATCGTACAGGGGCTTTATTGGTTGTGGACATCACGACGGGCGGTAATTAAGGACCATTCTTGGATGTTAGTGATTGGTTTACATGTTTTTGGGATTGTGTACATCACTGTAGGTGGAATTAAGAAAATATTACCGTGTTGTATTGAATTCATGTATGTTTGCATTTTTATAAGCAGCTGCGTATCTTAAAGCACCATAACAAATACGATGCCTAATAATCTTCTTATTCTTTTGAATATCAAAAAAATGATGCATCGCATAAAAAAAATATGAATACATATATATATATATATATCAATGCATGAACAAAGAATCAGGGATTGATGARAAAATTTAGCACATTTTACAGTGTCTTTTACGTGACTAAAAACTGACTGAATAATAGCTGAAGATCATGTGTACACACATAAAAATTACAAAATTGGCTAAAGAAATCCTCGCAAAAGCTGATATCTGTTTATTTATTTTCCRATAAGTCTCTTCCATTGATTTTGATCGACAACGTTACGATATATTATTTTTGTTATTCATTGAATACGGGGACAATGACTGCATAAATTACTCCATTTCTCATTAATATGCAAATTCATTCAACTCGAATCTGATGTGTTGACCCGTAGCTGGTTCTTCGCTTGATCACACAAAAAGTGTCTCTTAACGGTTAGTTTCTTACTGATTTGTAGTTTTTGTACATTTATGTAGCTTTTCGCGTCTTAATGTGTYTTTGAATGTTTATTAGCGCCATGGAATAGAAGTAGTCATCGTATGACTTCGAAATAACGATCGCCTTCTGAACGATTCSCTGTATTCATAGTCTGACAATTTGAAYATCGACTTCGCTGTTAATTCAAATTTGCTTTCAAATTTTCCTTTTTGTAGTCTACCATATCATTAGACTTTAGTTTGTCCTTGACTTTGGTTAATTACTTCACGTTGACTGTTTGAAAGGTTTCGCTAACGAAGTACAATGGTAGGACTAATGGTGATATACAGCCTTATTGTACGCGAGATATATTCGTTGAGGCGTTCTGTTTATTGTTGATTTATCAGTCAAGGGCTGTAATTTCGATATTATTTTTGGTCTGTCTCTGCGTGGTACTGCGTCTGAGGATTGTTGTTATTTTCAAGCGTTGCTATCGATGGCTCGTCAGTCATTGGTCGTTATACTGTATAATGTTTTTATTTTCAATGACAAATTAAAGTGTATTGAGGATTATTTTGACATGGAGATTAACTAGTTAATGTCTAAAAAATATCTAATGTATACTGTATAATGTTTTTATTTTCAATGACAAAGTTTAAGTGTATTGAGGATTATTTTGACATGAAGATTAACTACTAGTTAATGTCTAAAAAATATCTAATGTATACTGTATAATGTTTTTATTTTCAATGACAAAGTTTAAGTGTATTGAGGATTATTTTGACATGGAGATTAACTACTAGTTAATGTCTAAAAAAATATCGGCGAGGAGTTACTATTTATGGTAAGAACGTGTAATTTGGACAGCCAGGTATATAATAAAGATAAGCTATAATTAATGATATGAAGAAAAATATAGAATAAATGAATAACTAAATAAATAATAATAAAAAAAAGAAGAAAATAAAGAAAATAAATGAATAAATAAAAATATATATAATACATAGATTTTTTTATGGTAAGAACGTGTAATTAGGATTTTATGGTAAGAACGTGTAATAAGCGGCGAGGAGTTACTAGGTGAGTTGGGAAATTTTTGAAATCTTCACTCTCGGAAATGTCATTTCCAGCGTTTTGAGGCGTTATCAAAGACATTTTTACTGCACACACGCTCAGCGATATTATCAATAAATCCCAAAGACTTCAATTTTAATTTTTTATAGCTCCAATTTTAATTGTTCACGCTCAGTTTTTTACACAATTTTTATAGAATATATATGGTGAAATTTCATAAGGAGGCTCTTCGCTTCTTTATTTAAGAAAATTCAAAATGTCGGAAAAATTATTGGGGGGGGGCTGTAGCCCCCCAGACCCCCCTGCTCCGCGGTCCATGTTTGTGATGTTTGTGCACTTATTTGTTCCATAGCAATGTTTTGTATTCTTGTTTTGTGTTCTTGTTSGTAAATGAATGCCCAAAACACTTTATTGAATCTGTGTTACCATGTCAAAGATCTTTTTATTGGTTGAAATTGGTTTTCTTCAAATACCTTTTTTAAAAACATAACACCTACAAGCATTTGAAAATTGAAAATGCAACTTATCTTAGTTGTATGCATTCTAAAGCTCATATTTTTTTGTAGCTGGAAAATTCCAAGTCACGAGAGTCTAACTGTGACACCATTGAAGAACCAATCACATCTAGTGTCCAGACCACCTCGGAATCGCAGTATGACTGGATGGATAAACTGGGTGTTGTTGGTCAGGCTGCCCCACCACAGCAACCAATAGCAATTATTGACGAGAGTCTGTTTGAAGAACATCTTCCACTACCGAAACAACGTCAATATACACGAAGTAGAATTCGTGAGCCTGAAATAAAGACGTCAAGGTCACCACGTGATGCTTCTGCCGACATTGACCGTGGACTTAAACATCTAAGTGAAATGGATGACGTCCTTAATGTGGTCGATACTGCTGACATCTTGGACTATGATGTGAACCACGGTTCCCCCCCTGAAATTGCACCTCCGCCTATCCCAAGTGAACCTCCCCCCGACATTGATCATATGGAAACAACCTATGATCCTGTATTTGATAATTCACCACTTCGCGATTCCAGAGCACTAAGAGCTGCCTCCAGATCAAAGAACCAGCCTGCAAGAACAGAAACAAACATACAACCAAATCACCCTGATRATACAGATATTCCACCAGCACTACGTGTCTCGCAGACACCAAACAGAACAATAACGCCTAAACCAGGACCTCCACCAACACTACCCAAACCTAAAATGACTGGTCCAGGGGGAGGGCGAAGGCAGCAGGGCGGTGCACTTAGACCTGGTCTGCTGGCCACAACTTTAAACAGATCAAACGAGTCTTTAACTGAAGAAGAGAATGTCGGCCTGACACCACGTGGGTATGTACGTGCCGCAGCATCAGCTATCAATCAAGGTGAAATCGATGCACTCGGTGAAAAGATCAACTTCTTGGAAAAACAGCTCAAGGTATTATTACTTGTATTCAAGCTATCCTGTTTATAAGATAAGAGAATATTACGTGGGCGTGCGCAATTACGGATTTGTCTTTGGGTGTTAAAAACTTCCCTCGCGAGTGAGAGTAGTGAAGATAAAATCCGTGATTTGAGWGGATTTGTTTTGCTTTTKCTGTACAATGAATGTTGTTGGTCCTAGGCTGCTCAACGAAAAGTTCATTATCCGTAGACAAGTTTGTTTTTTCTSGAGATTTTCGCCTGTATTCCCAAGATTACACCTGTTTTCTATCATCGGCTTCCTCGTTGGCTAAATATGAAGCGAAACTGGTGATTCTGCTTTCYTTTTTTTGGGACATATATCTACGAAAAGTAAAATTTGAAACCCTGAAAATGAACTTTGAGAAGTACTAAGATCTTCCTCCTCTTCCTCGGTATGYTGTCGGCGGTTGGTCATTCAGAAATCGGCATTGTTCAAGACGCTTTCTGATGGCTGTTTTGCGCTTATTTTATAATGAGMAATTCTAAAAATAGCACCAAGAGGAGTAAAGGCCGCTCTAATAACCTGCTAGGAGAGGAAGGCTCCTCCTGATACGATAGATAGAATGTCATTTTGGCAGTTGTGGGTTGAAAGCTTGTAGAAAAGGACATCACCTCAAATTTACACAAAAGGAAACCATAGACAATTGAAGGRTTGTGAGTTCGGCTTGTGAGTGTAAAAGTGGTTGGACTTTAATGAATGTTAATCCAACGATCAGCTCGTTCTGAACAGGCGCATTGAAGTTGTACTGGAGCGGGTCGAAGTGAGGCTAGGGGACTGGGACTGGACTGTAATGTCACGTACGAGTAACCCGCACAAGCRCAACATACACATTTTGCGTATGTAGAATATGGTAAAAAGGGCGTGTATTTAAATGAAGTGTCGGGCCAATTACTTCTATATTCTTATTACTTCTCAGAGCGCGCGCTCATTGTTTTTATGTTGTTTTGTAAAATGTAACGCTTACATCGTAATACTTCTATATTGATTAATTTATGGCCGTTTTTCTGAGAGACTTGATTGGACCATTTTACTGGATGATCGCCAAGCATTTTTATTTTTTTCTCAGTCTAAAGGTGATATTTCATAACAGTTTTCAAGTTTAGCTAAGGGATTTAACTCTATCTATTGTAAGAAATCGATATTAATTATACTTAAGTATGGAAGACGAACCACGTCAACTCCCACCRCTACCGCCACTGAAAAACATGTCCGCAGACSGAGAACTCACTCCAAAGTCAAAATGTCATAGTATAAGAGACAGCATTGACTATTTTCTCAATAAACTAAAGCAGGATTCTCCTTTCGTATCAAGAACTCCTTCTCGTTTAATCGACCATCAAAACATGACTAGAATACTTCAACAATTCCAAGACAGCATCTCTTCTTCTCAYGAGCGCGAGAAGTACGACCAAGTGGACATGTTGTTTGGTGTTGAGCAGCGTTTGTCTGAGTTCTCTGAGACTTTGCGTGGTGCATGTGACGGTGCAAAGAATGGTGATGTCCCTTGGTTTATTGASTCGCCTGTCTGTGCAAAGTATCCAAACTGTTATATCTGTAGTATCAAATTCTCACAAATTGTAAGTGCTGCTTAGGGTTAGTTAATATGTTTATTATCATACACAACCAGAAATCGTAGTTGACAAGATATTTTCTTTTTAGCGTTAAAAAGGCGATATTATGACAAATGATTCGAGAGATTCGGCATTTAAATATGCACAAGTTAGGATAATTCATATTCGTACAATAGCAGGTAGTAGCGCACCACGGATAATGATTCTTTCATATTCACTTCTTATAAAAAAACATTTTATTATTTATTGAAATGAATTCAAGAAATTTGGTTGGCCGAGAACTGTTGGCGAATTCGTCATAACTGCTTGACAGCTGGCAAATGTAAGAGCTATAACCCGCATCTTGACAATGTACCACTTGGCACACTACAATAWTCAGTGYTGACAAAACWTTCACTAATTTAAATGAAATTGGGCAATTGTATTTGCCTTTTTAATGCCTAGTTTAGTTTTAGTTTGAGGGTCCTGAGATTCCAGAACCCCCACTTTGAATTATGAGAACTGCCAAATCAATTAGAATAACGCATTTTTTCAAAGTTTTAAATTCAATTTTAGTTTCAATTTATTCACATTGTGTATTTCAGATTACAAGTGAAAAAGCAAATAGTTATATTGAAGTATGAAGGTTATCTGTGACCATATATTTGAGGATGAACGACAGCGAAAGGGTTTTCTTGTTGACTGTGGTAGTTGTCAAAAAAAGAAAGGAAAAAGGAGATAAAGAAGACAAAATATTTATAAAATATTTATAAAAGTGATTTCAACAATAGTGTAGAAAATATATAATGAGAGAAGAGCGACTTTTAAGTAACAATGCGCTTAAGAACTAGGGAACTCTCTATTGTTCTGCGGCATTACAACTTCCCCACATACGAATGTCTTGGTTTTTTATGTATCAACCTATGGATAACACATTTTTGAAATAAAATGTGGATAAACTCTATTTTGAAACAAAGTTTCTTTTGTATTGAAAGCTCTTATCCAATCATAAGCAATCAAAACAATAGCCAAAAGATGCATCTAATTTGCTATGTTCCCCACATAGAATTGCCTTAATATTGAAGCCAAAGAAAGCTTTCATGAAAGCGAAAACAGACATTAAATAAAATATTAGAAAATGCGCTAACTTTTAAAATAATAGCAGATTTTCRAGTTTTAACCAATGGGATGGATGGATTATACAATGGGCAATTACCACTTTGCATTCCTTTGCCGTTTGCTTCCCTAGTTCTTATTCGGGGCATTATTCAAAAATATGTTGATCTATGATAAACGGGTTAGTTGCAATTATTGGTTTCTAAGGTTGAGTAATGAAGAGCCATTTATGTAGGGGTTTACTGTAGTGCAAMTCTTCCTTATAAAACTATGATTACCAAAGCAAGATTGAAGATAGATATTATTCAAATTTGTGTTTGCGAAAACTATAAATAGAAATGCATGTGACAGTTCACTAAGATAACAAGAAAGTAAGGAAATAAGGAAAAGGGACGAAGAAAGAGATTAAATAGTAGCATAGATACAAATTGAATGAAACTGTTAGAGTGAGTGCGAAGAAATATTGATAAGTAATACGATAACTAGAGATAATGAAGGTTTTGTGAGATATTTCTAAAGTTGAGGTTGATAGAACCACTTATCCGCCGTACTTTGACACCAGAATATTTCATATTTCACTTTCAATAATGAGCTCTGCGTTAGAAGAAACCTTTATTTTGTGTAATTTGACAAAATATTAAATATCCCATAAATTGTCTGCAAATATTCGCATATCTTCAAGCGCTACCGATATAACGTGTAGGTCCTCTGTGATTTGATAACCACAGTGTTAATGGTTTATCGCCTGGCTAAAAAAAAACATTTCCTTTTATTTTAGAACAAAGAAGGCGTGATCCGCTCCATGAAGGTAATTAGTAGACTCGTTAAAGTGACAAACAATTTAGTAGAGTCGATGTTCAGGGAGTGTGTCTCCCCTATCAGAAAACATTAGTTGTTGTCCGGATAACGTTGATAAAGGATAATTTTTGATTTTCCAGACCGAAGCAACTGAGATAGAAAACAAGGCTTTGGTAAGAATTACTTGTTTAAGTTTTGTACAAATCTTCCATGTTTAGGAATAATACTAGACATGTAAGACAAACTCGTAGGGATATGACGTAAAAGCGGACGTTCTTGATTTTTGTAGGTTGAACGGAAAGACAGAGAAATTAAAATCTTGGTAAGTATAACGTGCAATCTTGCTTGTATCTATTGCTTTAACTTTTCTCCATTTATTACAGGAGGACGATGTAGCCTTCCTTAAACAAGAGGTAAATTGCTAGAAGATTACTTGGACCAAGTTGGGTTTATATCATATTATTAATTAATGCGTTATTTTATAATTAGGCAGTGCCGCGAGCTGGTTTTATTGTAACGTTTGAAGGAATAATCTTTCAAAATTGATTGTAACAACAACAAAAGAAATGAAAAAAAAAAAGAGAAAAAAGAAAAAAAAACAAGAACAAGAACAAATTCCTTATTTTATTGATCCAGGTGACAGAAATGTTGGACAAAATCAGAATATATATCCAGTTTCCGTGCAAAAATAGTTGACTCGTGGTAAAGTTTCGAGAAAAAGTCTGTTTCATAAAATGACGGAACTGTATTGAGGATTTGTATCAGTTTGAATTTTATAACTGACTAATTAGTTTTTAGTTTATTTATGTGAGTTCATGTGGGAGTTTTTTCTATTATCATGGATGTTTCTTTGTTAATCATGGGTAAGTTGATACATGTCTTTTTTTGGCAGAATCAAAAGAAGGAGCGAGAGTTACTTGTTAAGGTACGTCCTTTGGTTGGATAATATGGTAAAGTGGTTAAGGAAAGGTGGAGTGATATAWTTACATTTTCATTTCAATATTAGATTGGTGAAATCAACAGAAAGAATTACGAGGTAAGACTGGCTACTTGACGACCATATATACCTATTAGAAAAAAGGTTGTCGGCTGAAAGGAGCTATTATTTGTTCCAATTGATTAAAAAAGTGTTTGCTACAATACAAACGCAGATCTCTTTTATTATTGAAGTAATATTGAAGTAAKTGGAGACGGACAAGGAGAAAGAGGCGAATCTGCTCTGTTTTACACTTTCCTAGAATTCTTGAAAGGGTGGGCTTTCGAATTTTGGAAGATGTAATCTAATAGGCTTGTTCAGAAAATGTGTCATTGTTCTCTTAAGAACGACACAGCCAATCAGAGAAATCGATCCGAGTGAGGTGAAGACCTACTCCCTGGGAAAGCGAGAACGTGTTGTTATCACTCCACACCGCCAATGCTTCCCTCACTTAATATTAACTATCTTATGTATACCAGGTGGATCAGTGGAAGGCTGAAGCAACCAATGCTGAAAAACAACGAAAACGCATTGAAACATCCTACATGAATTTACAGGTAAGAGCTATTCTAACAGTTAATTATTTGTGCTGGAATTCTAGAAACTGTTAGTAGATTTTCAGTGATGAGCGTCTTTGTTTCGTGGCGTACTTCAGTTTCTCACATTTTGGAAGTTATTTGACTATCTTTCTATTTCAGACGCAAACCAGAAACTTACATGGTGCAAACAATAAATTGACTGATGTACAAACTAAGTGCACCTCCTTAGAGAAGGAAAAWACACAGTTACAAGATAAAGTCAATAAACTTGAAAAAACGGAAAAAGAATTTAAACAATTAGAATATAATATCTCCGTCCTACAGGTATGTATTGTAATACTATATAGTTTTGGGGGTTCAGTTTTGTTTTATCTTCGTTTTCATACTCGGCATTTTTACTTGATTTGATCGTCACTTATATTACTATTTTACGGTCTTTTCATTCGTATTGTTACAATAACGTTTATTTTTTTCATTAGTTTGATATTGTTTTGGAGGCATTTTTAATATACTTCCTTTACTTGCAGTGGCATAAGCTAGAAAGTAAAATCGAAGTATAAATCCATTAACCTTATTGCCAGACACTAAATGCTTACAACTGAAATCACTGGGACGCCTGTGGTGTTCCTCACCCTTGGTCCATCATATTTAACCCTACAAATGTTTGTTGATTATAATAGAATCATCTCCAAGATATGGAGAGTGTCGAGAAGGAACGAGATGAGCTAATGGATCGGCTCAAGATGGCCGAAAGCCAACGTGATGACCTACTCAAGAAGGGAAGAATGGTTGAATCTGAAAGAAATGACTTTTTACGTAGTAATAAAATAATGGAGATGCAACGGGATGAACTTGAACAACGTTATGCTATGGCACATGAAGAACTTATGAATCTTAAATCAACGGTAAGATACTCAGTTTAGTCCTGGATCTCATTCTGTGCGAACCCCTTTAGTCCGGGATCTCATTCTGTGCGAACCCCTTTAGTCCGGGATCTCAGTCTGTACGAACCCCTTTAGTCCGGGATCTCATTCTGTACGAACCCCTTTAGTCCTGGATCTCATTCTGTACGAACCCCTTTAGTCCGGGATCTCATTCTGTGCGAACCCCTTTAGTCCGGGATCTCAGTCTGTACGAACCCCTTTAGTCCGGGATCTCATTCTGTACGAACCCCTTTAGTCCTGGATCTCATTCTGTACGAACCCCTTTAGTCCGGGATCTCATTCTGTGCGAACCCCTTTAGTCCGGGATCTCAGTCTTTACGAACCCCTTTAGTCCTGGATCTCATTCTGTACGAGCACCTTTAGTCCTAGGCTCAGTCTCCAGCCGTCGGGATTTCGTGCGCCCGCGATACTCTCTCCCCTGACGGCTGGGCGCATGGGGTTCGCTATTGTCAGTCTCGACCAATCAGCGAGTGGCCCCCGATATTTTCAGGTGCATATCATTAATAAATTAGCAGGCAGCCGTCGTCGCAGTGTAATATAACAAAATGGCGGACAATTCGTCGTTTGAGATTCTCGTTTGAACGCTCTGAAGTCGTTTAGCTTGGACGAATTTAGAGAAATACAGCAAAAGGCTCTTAAAGAGATTGTTCTTGGAAAAGATGTCCTTGTTATTCTTCCTACTGGCTCGGGCAAATCTCTTATTTTTCAAACAGCGCCACTAGTGTATTTTGCTCGTCTTTCTGGCAGATAATATATCCATTTGGATTATTAAACCCTACACATGTTTTACTTGGGGTAATTTCCATTCCTTTCTCTTTTTTAAAGCGCTAACTATTACATTATATCGCCACTTCGCGAAGTTTTCATTTCACATAATTTCCCGCCTTGTAGCAAAACCTTTTAATACGGCTGTTGTCAGATATTTCACTTCCGTTCACTGAAAAATTCACTTCCGTTATTCATAATATGCTAATTACACAAAAACGTCACGGACATGCGCGACACGTTTCGAACCCCATGCGCCCAGCCGTCAGGGGAGAGAGTATCGCGGGCGCACGAAATCCCGACGGCTGGAGACTGAGCCTA